TAGGCGTCCACCGTACATCGTCTTGTCAGGTGAGATGTTAAATATTCTGGTTTAAATAATTCTGTTTTTAGCAGCATTGCGAAGCATTTCATAGCTGTGGATTCCTGTCCATTGTCGAATATTGCGCAGCCATGACATTTTTTTACGTCCGAGAATTTTCCTACCCTCTATTTTCCCTTCAAGTATCAGTTGCTGAAAAGTGTATCGTTCTCCTCGTATAATGTGCCCCAAGTATGCAGTCTTCTTACTTTTTACATAATTAAAAAGTTCCCTATCCTGTGTAAGCCCGCTCTTTTGAGTACTTCCTCATTTCTGACCCTGTCCGTCCATGATATTCTGAGCATTCGACGCAGGCACCACATTTCAAACACTTCGAGTTTGTTAATGGAACTGGCCTTTAACGTCCATGCTTCCATTCCGTACAGGAGAACAGGCCACACGTAACACTTAAGCATCTTGTATCGTAGGTTGAAGTCCAATTTGCGATCAGTCAGAAACTTACGAAGCCTCAAAAAAGCATTTCTGGCTTGTTCAACTCTGCTCTTTATTTCATTCTCGGGGTCCCAACCCTCATTCAGCAAACATCCCAAGTATTTGAATTGCTTGACTTGTTCGATTTCTTCTCCAGAGACATATATCTTTGCGTTGGGGTAATCATTTCTACTTATAATCATTGATTTTGTCTTCTTGATATTTATTTTCAAACCCCGAGCTTCACTTGCAAGAGTTAGATCATTTAAAAGGCATTGAAGATCTTCGATGTTATCTGCCACTATGGCTGTATCATCGGCATACCTGATGTTATTAATAAATATGCCGTTAACTTTAATACCCTTATTAGAGTCTTCCACTGCTTCTGCGAAGGCTTTTTCTACGTATAAATTGAACAGCATTGGGGACAGTATACAACCTTGCCTTACTCCTTTTTTAATGGAGAAATCTTCTGTTTCGTTGAAATTTTGAAGACGTACTGTTGCTGTCTGATTCCAATACAGATTGGCGATGATTCTTATATCCTTTGCATCCAATCCCAACTCCTGTAGGTATTTTATCATCAATTCATGTTTTACATTATCGAATGCTTTCTCGTAATCGATGAAACAGATAAAAACATCGTTTCTTTGATCTAAACAATTCTGTATCAATGTTTGCATACTAAAGATCGCTTCTCTCGTGCCAAGTCCATTTTTGAAACCAAACTGACTCCATCCACTGACCTCTTCACATTTCTTAAACAATCTAGTGTGAAGTTTTCTCAGGAAAAGTTTTAAAAAGTGACTCATTAGGCTTATTAGTCGGTGGTCCTTGCAGAAGTACGCACGTGGTGTTTTTGGTAGGACAATAAATGTAGATCGAAGCCAATCTTTTGGAATCTGGCCCGTATCGTAGATGTCGTTAAAGAGCTTGACAATAATGTCTAGGTTTTCTTCATTAAGTAACTTGATTGTTTCTGCGTACATATCATCTGGTCCTGGGGTTTTGTTACTTTTTAATAGTTTGATAGCGTGTACAATTTCAGCTTTCAAAATACTTGGGCCATACAAATGGTCTCCCAGTTGTGGTGGTTTTTGTGTTCTGTCATCATTGAACAAATTGGCTGTGTACATTTTCCAAGTATTAAGTATATCGCTAGGGTCCGTTATTAATTTATTTTGGTCATTATGTATACCAGTGACTTGTTTTTTCTTGAAGACACCAGCAATTTCCTTAATTTTCTTGTGAAGATTGAAACTGTCGCCAAGTTTATATAGGCTTTCAGCCTCGGCGCAAAGTGTAGTCATCCAGATCTCCTTCGCCGCTATAATTTCTTTACGAATTTGACTGTGTATATTTCGGTACCCTACTTCGTCCTGCCTGATCTTACACTGCCTGCGTTGTTCCGTCATCTCTAATATTTCTTCTGTCATCCACTCATTCTTGGTAGTTGTTTTACTCTCGAGTAGAAAAGTGTTGTTCAACTCATCAAATGATTCTTTTATGGTGGTCCATGACTTTTCAACATCATTCTCAGTTGCCATATTAGAGAACCTATTGTTTATTTCCTCTGTGTACGCTTCATTTGTTTCATTGTTTTTGAGTTTTCTAATGTTTACTGATGCCTTCTGGTGTTTTCTTTTCGAGCCTCAGTTTGATATTTGCTACTAAGGGATTGTGGTCGGATCCTATGTCTGCTCCAGGTAATGCAGATACCTTAGTAATAGCATTCCTGTACCTTCTATTAATTGTCACATAATCTATTTGGTTCCTTATAATGCCCTGCTGTACGTCTAAAGGCGACTTCCATGTGTAAAGCCTCCTGGGTGGTAACTTATACCAAGTATTCGTTATGACTAGATCTTTGTCTTGACAGTACTGTATCAATCTGTCCCCTCTGTCGTTTCTCTGACCAAGACCATATTTTCCAACTACGTGATCTACAGCTCCTTCCCCAACTTTTGCGTTGAAGTCTTCTAATACGATGTTAATTTCGTGATTCTTAGTCACCTTTAAGGCTTCGTCTAGCTGTTGATAAAATCGCTCTAGTTCTTCTTCTGGCTTGTCTTCTGTAGGGGCGTAGACTTGTATAATATTTATGTTAACTTTTCCATGCAACTGAATAAGTATGACTCTTTCGGAGATCGGGACAAAGTTCTTCACGGAGGCGCGCAAATTTTCGCTTATCAGAACTCCCACCCCATGTCTGTGGTGAGGGTCTGTGCTATCACTGCATGAGTAGTAAAGGGTTTTACCAGTAGTATTGATCATGCCTGTGCCTTCCCATCGCAATTCGCTTATGCCGAGAATATCGATGTTAATTCTGTTCATTTCCTGAATTAGATTTTGTAGTTTGCCTGCTGCAAATAGGCTTCTGACATTCCACGTAGCAATTTTGATTGTCTTATCAAGTTGAAACCGGGAGATTCTTCGCACCCCTTGACCATTTAAGGCCTGCCCGGACTAGGGGCCGTTTGTTTTGTTTCTTCCAACATGACAAGAAAAAATCTACGGACGGATGTCCTGAGGAATATAATGCGGTAGTTTCCTACTTGCTTTCCGCATCGCAGTACCGGAGCCCTCTAACTGTTTCAGTCTCACCTACGGTATTCTAGTAAGAAGCCGGTTTAGGATCATTTCCTTTACGCCTAATTCTAGTACTGGTGATCGCTGCTGCCCTTCACCAGGTTGATTCTATACTATCCCTAGAAACAGGGTTGCCACTTCCGTTGAATTCACTGAACCGAATACTATATTCTCCACCTTCATCATCGTTGTGGTCTTCACCCGTATCCCTGGGCAAGGGGGCCGTGTTATACCCCACGGAACTGGGTCCCTATCTGAACTTAGCCATCTACTAGCTCCGGTCTACTGAAGCAAGAGATGCCCACCCCCGCGACATGGACGCTCCAGACAGGAATTACTCATATGAGCGACAGAGAAGGTGGCTCTGTGCCCTATGAGCCGAGTTAAGGGTATCCAGCAGCACATTTTTTTATCTTACCTGTTCTATATTGCTTGTTAATTCTTTCACAATAAATATGTCACCAATAGGTTAAGTATACCTTGAAGTATATACCTGAAACACTAAGTATGTACCTGACACACTTCAGAGAAATTTATTTCTACTAGAGACTGACTCAATAGGGAAGACGACGATCAAGTAACTGTTAAAGGATGCTTTCTTTTGCTCCAAGATTTACTGGAATGAACACGTACTCTTACAGCTTTGGATGAAAGACTGGCGCATGTTCATATTGTAGTAGTCTCTTAGAGATTGACAATTTTTTTTGCGTACTTGTCTACTGTAGTGGTTGGTTTGGAACTGGACAAACTTTCAAATTTATTTTTTTGCTTACATGATGATAATCCCATTGCAGCTTCCATAGTTTTGGCAGCTAAACGGTCGATTTTATTTCAGTCACTCCACCCTAAAGAATTCCTTAGCAGTGTGGTTTAATAAAAGTCAATACGGTAGTCAATCCTATGAACTTGCACTGAGATAAGAGATCTTTTTATTTTAAAAAACTTTGGTGTTAAATTTGTGACTTTACAGCGCAGTAAAAATACAAGGAGCCCAGTAGATGTGTTTTCTTCTTGCGGACATCCTCCACATGAAACACTTGTCTTAAAATTTTCCCACAAAGGTATTTTATCTTATTTTCATCTTCTTGTAATCTTTGTATTTCTACACATTTTTTTGAGAGCCACAATTCCTTCGCTTCTTTGATTTTTTGTTTGATTGTTTTATTTACGCTTTTGTGTTGTTCGGTTTTATTTTTGTATTTTCTCCTTTCCGATATCCATAACTTTATTTCTTGTGTTATCCATTGTTTGTTTGTAGGCGATGTATCGCCTCCAGTTATTATTGTATGAAATTCCTCAGGATTGTCTTTAACTCTCTCAATTTTGCTGTAGCGTTATCTACGCAAAAGAAGTTGCCGTTGTCTTTCTACTTGGACTTCCGTGTGTATTTGTTCTTTGATCTGTCAGCAGAGACCAGCTTCTTTTAGTCTTCTTAGATTGTTTGGTGGCTCTTTTTATTTTCTTTAGTTTGGATTTAATTCTGCTATAACAAAGTTGTGGTCACTTGATATATCTTCGCCTGGGTAAGCTTTAGTCGATACTAGGACCTTATGGAATCTTTGGTTTGTAATGACGTGTTCAATCTGGTTTCTTATCGTTATCTCTAGGGGCTTTCTAGGTGTATACTCTTCAGACTGGTAGTTTGTAAATACCATGTGTTCTTGTTAATGAGTTCGTGTCCCTGCAGAACTGAACTAGTCTCTCTCCTCTCTCATTACATGTTCCTAGTCTATAATCTCACTACTTCTCCATCTCTTCCTTTCCCTACCTTAACATTGAAGATGCCTAAAATAATATTAACTTTCTCTTTTTTGGTTTCTTTCAGTGTTTTGTCTAATTCATCGTAAAAGCTCTTTATCCTATAAACCATTGTAATAAAGACCTACGGTGAAAGTCTCGTTTAAGCTTAAGTATAATTTGACATTCTTTTTTTGTTGCAGATGTTACTATCAAACGACATCAATCTGAGAAATAAAGCAATGATTAACGGCATACCAGCCGTTCAATCCAACGGAATTATCATGAAAATCATGTCAAAGATTGCAAAAGATACCAAGTATCCGCAGATAATGCAAAAGTTGGGTATCTTGTGCTCCACAATCATCTGCGAATGTGTCAAGGAAGCTTACGGTGACGTCTGGCTGCAGATGTCTATGCTAGCTCATCCTCCTTGGTCTTTTATTGAGTGCCTGAAGCGATTCAAGAAATATTGGACGGCAGTATTTAAAGGAAAACTCATGAAACAGTTCATAACGACAGTAGATAGGCTGCTTGAGTTGTTCAATTTTAACAAAGGTGTGCATAGATAATATATCAACAAATCGATAGACTACAGATGTCATTTTGTTTATCGTAAACTTCCTTTAACTTACATAATTTTAGATTAGAACGTTCATTATAATTTTAGAAATTATTGGGTAGAAAAAAGTTAGTTTGTTGCATGTACAATTTTTCTCCATTGCTTCTTATTCTTTGCTTGGTTTCTTGCTTGTTCTTTGCTGATTCATCGTGTCTCTAGGATTGAGGTTACATTATCACACCATGTCTTCATTGGCCTGTCCCTTGGTCTCTTGGTTTGTCTTCTGGCTTCCCATACTTTTTTAACTGGTCTTTCTTGATTCATTCTAACCGTGTGTCCATACCATCTCAGTTAGGCCTCTTTAATTTTCTTAATAATTGGTTGGACCTTAAGATGTTCTCTGACTGCCTCATTTCTAATCCTGTCTAACCTGGTTATACCCATTATTCTTCTAAGAAACTTCATTTCTATGCTCTATACTTTCGATTTTAATTTATCACTAAGCGTCCAACTTTCACTACCAAAAGTTAAAATCGGCATAAACACCGTGTTGTATATGGCCACTTTGGCTTTTTGGGATACTTTTTTCTCGACAAAAAAGTACTTTTAATTGCTTGGTACATTCGAGCAGCACTTTCTTCTCTTATTTCAGTTTCTTCAGTTCCTCTGTTCTCTATTTGTACTCCCAAGTATTTGTAAGTATCGGCTTGTTCAAGTATATTTCTGTTAAGTGTTATCTTCGTTTGTTTTCTATTTTTCCACATATCATTACTTTCGTCTTCTCATTATTGATCCTCAAATTTCGTTTAATTAGTGCAGCGTTCCATACTTGTAAATTTCGATTGAGTGCTTCGTCATTTATCCCAAATATCACTAGATCTCTGGTCCGCTAGCTTTCCCTAACTTAAGGTTCAAAACTGTCTTTTTTACTGTTTCTTCGGATACCTCTACTTCTTCTCCATTTATTACAAAATGTTTTGGAGATTCCTTATCTCTACTTGCCCAATATTCCTCCTTTGTTTGATTTTGTACAAGAGACATGCTTTCTACAGTTATCTTTATAACTTATAGGTCTTATTTTTATTTTATTGTTTTTAGTGCTGTTTGCAGTCTTTTATAATTAGTAAATGTTATAAGTTATCTTATTTTGTTTCTTGATTTTTTAAACTTTTTTGAACAACGGCAATGCGTCATTCAATTTTTTAAGGATCCTTTCCTTATCTGGTTTCAAAACAATATCGGAATTTCTGATAATTGTTTTTAATACAACAAAATGTTTCTAAAACTTACTTTTAGGATACCTTTTGCTATTTTTTTTACTGCATTAATAAATATTCTTATATTATTTTTCTCGCATAGTTTAAGATTTATTTCTCGCCATTTGTTCAAAAAATCGGTATACGAACAAGTGAAAATTTTTCACACATTTACTTGGCACAACGCGCTGTTGCCGAATCCCCTAGTTCAGATATATTTACACAAAATTTTAATGTTATTTTTCAGATTTCTGTGATGATTCGGATACTTACCAGAATTTCGTAAAGTTAAGTCTCGATCTGTGCATATTCCTGAAGGATCTGGATGATTTCCGAGTGTCGGTCAGTAATATTATAAATGAAATAACGAAAATAAAATAGAAGCTCAGAACAAGAGTTCGGTTATGATGTATAAATTATGATAATTAATTGTATTTTTCAAATCTTCTATGTTATTTTTGTACAAGATTTTAATTTAGTTAAGTAAAAATTTTGTCAAGTTTGATTGTTTTATTTATATCAACTCTACCTAAATAATGTAACATTGGCACTATAGCATTTTTCAGATAAAAAAGCTTGCACGTCATTGAAGATTTATGTCTTCAGAACCCCACAGCGTTGCCAAAACATCACAATAGTTAGTAAGTGAGGAATTTTTAAAATGTCAACTATTTGTTAAACTGTTATGTTAACAGTAAATACACTTAGTTTTAAGACTACTGCAACACATTAAAATACATAAGAAACCATTTTAATACAAAATTATATATTATAAATTTTAGACTTACCTCTTTTAGGGCTTTAATAACAAAAAAGGCCCGCCATTATTTCTTGTTCAAAAATATCTATCTTATATGAAAGCTTATCAGCTTTCTACAGACTTTTATTTGTTTTGGCATATCACAATCACAATACACAACAATAATTAGTTTTTAAAGCTATTAATCTAAATTTAAAATGCATTTATAAATACAATTTATTAATACATATTATATTATGATCAAATTGTGTAAGACGTCAAAACATAAACAACATTTTTACTCTAAAAAAGCGGCAACACTTAATACACTTTTACCATCCGCTGAACTGTCAATATTATTTGATATATTTCCGTATCAGTTGCGTACAATTGTCTAATATATTTAATTAAAAATATTCTTTTGTGGAATATTAGACTTCAAGAGTTATTTCATAAAATTTATATTATTAATAATAATAAATGTTTTTGGTTATTTAATCAATATAATTCTAAAATTTCCAATATAATGATGATTATATTTTTCTGATTATTACACCATGTTGACGCCTATGAAAGGTCGAGCAGGTCCGTATGACTTTCGTATTATTAGCTGTGTTAGGAAAATTTGAACTATAAGGTTGATACTTGTATAAATCGTGACGTGCAAGTGTTTTACTTTGAAAAATGGTATACTTAATTAAACACCGAAATGTAGCACCGTCCGTGCAAACTACCGATGCAATTTGGAAATTGCCACATGTTTAGAAAATCTTCAGCTGATTTTTGCCATATTTCTGTTATCGGTTCAGGAAGATAAATAAACTGTAATCTTTTATAGTACTTGCAAGCACTCTTGACCATGTAGCTGCGCGAAGGCGGAGTCAAAATTCACGTAAAGGCAGAAAGATTCTCTTGTAAGTGGAATTATACTAACCAAACTAAAACGTTCTACCTTCGACTGCAACCTCGAAAATGTCGAAATAATTACAGTGTTGGACTGAGTAATAAATAAAAAATTGCACGGTGCATAACCAAAATGGTTTTTATGTGCATTTCGTTTATATTTTCAATGATTTTTGTTTAATTTTTTTTTTTAAATTGGCTTTAATTTGGTATTTTAAACTCAACTTTCGGTATTCAACGTGGAAAACGCCCTATTATTTATTGCAAAATTATTGTTTATAAGTTTATATTTTCAATTTTTTATTTTAAGTTGAGACATATAACTAATATTATGAGATGAATAACTAATACACATTTAATTTATTAATTTATTTTTAAAATTTCTCAACAGTTGTACCTACTTACAAATTATTTACAAATTAACTAATTTTTTATTTATTTATAAATGTATTTAGGACAGTAAATTAAACGATATTCAAAAAAGGGTACAGCGAATAATTTGTTGAATGCTAATGATTGATTTATAATTTGTTTCGAATTCTCCATACGTCATATCTACCAGAAATCAGAGATTACTAGGAATTGCAATGAGGTTAGATAAGAAAAATTAGAAACAATAGAACAATAATTAGGTTCTACCTACCTATACGTGGATTTCCTTTTAGTAATCAGTTGGATTTAGTTATATACCTGAATTCCTTAAAAAGTTGCTGCTGTGGAGATACGTTTCATCAGTGTAGATAACATCATAACCCTCAGCATATTTTTTTAGATATTCGGTTCGTTTGGCTCGAATATCCGCTTTTTTCATGAGTATTTTTTGGTTGTCATTTGTTTTTTGCCATTTAAAACCTAATTTCTTTTCTGAACGACGATAGTTTACCTTGGAAATTAATCTCGTTCTTAACAGCGTTGTAAACAGCTGACATTGTAGGCCTGCTGCCATGAATAATTGCAAAAGTATGCACTGTGTTTCTTATAATTTCTCCCTCATAACCATCGACGTTCATTTTTTTTTCATATGAAAATAATGAGACGCAAACTCACAAATGGAAATAAACAAATAGTCAAACTCAAGGATAGAAATGGCAACATCACATCAAACAGAGAACATTTGTTACAAATTGTGGAATCATTCTATGAGACATTATATAGCAACCAATCGACTCTAGATATAGTCGAATATCAACAGAGGAAGGTTCAAAATCAGGGTTCCGAAGATATTCCAGAAATCTCCTTGTACGAAATTTACAAGGCCCTAAAAAAGATGAAGAATAACAAAGCTCCGGGAAAGGACGGTGTCGTTACGGAAGCGATAAAGATAGGAGGCTCAGTACTGATAGCCAAAATTCAAAAGCTCTTTAATCTATGCCTATGGAATCAAAATATCCCAACAAAGTGGAATAATTCAATAACTGTACTCTTACACAAGAAGGGAGGTATAGCAGACCTGGAAAGATACAGACCAATCAGTCTCCTTAACCATCTTTATAAATTATACACCCGAATAATAACGAATAGATTAGAGACAAAGCTGGATTTTTACCAACCTCGGGAACAAGCTGGTTTCCGCCCTAATTACGGCACAAACGATCACCTGCAGTGCCTAAAAACCCTAATAGAAAAAAACTAATGAATATAACCGTCCCTTGGCATTGATATTTGTAAACTTTAAAAAGGCGTTTGATACAGTGGAACTACCGTCCATCTTAAGAGCACTACAAGATTGCAGGATCGACCACAGATATTGTAATATAATTAAAAATATATATGAAAATGCCACAACAACCATAATTCTATAATCTGCAACTAATAAAATAAAGATAAAAAGGGGAGTCAGGCAAGGAGATACCATGTCACCAAAGCTGTTCATTACCGTTCTTGAGTATGCATTTAAAAGACTAACATGGCAACAGAAAGGAATATCCATCGATGGAGAAAGATTAAACCATCTACGTTTTGCGGACGATATCGTGCTTCTGTCAGATAATCTGGGAGAGATCAAAGACATGCTCCAATAACTGAATGACATACTACAAGAAACTGGGCTGGAGATAAATTTCGAGAAAACCAAAATGATGACCAATATGGTTCCCAGCTAAGAGATACAGATCAATAACAACAAGGTAGAATTAATCGATAAATACACATACTTGGGTCATGAAATTAGAATAACGAGAGACAACCAAACCTGTGAGCTAAATAGACGAATCATGTTGGGATGGGCGGCATATGGACGGATGAGAGACATTTTTAAAACAAATATCCCAATTCACCTGAAAAGGAAGGCATTTAACCAATGCATTTTACCAGTCTTGACCTACGGAGCAGAGACCTTAACTTTAACGAAAGCTACTGCCGAAAAACTGAGGGTAACACGAAGGCGAATGGAGAGATCAATGCTGGGCCTGACCTTGAAAGATCGCGTAAGACATGAGGAGATACGCTGACGAACTGGCGTAGACGATATTATACTGCGAATCAATAAACAAAAGTGGAGGTGGGCTGGACATGTTGCTAGAATGGAAGATGGACGAAGAGATTATTGGAGTGGAGACCAAGAGCCGACAAGCGAAGTCGAGGCAGACCACCCACCCGATGGACCGACGACCTAAGGAGAATAGAAACAAATTGGATTGCAGCAGCTAGAGATAGAGAGAACTGGAGACGTTTGGAGGAGGCCTATATCCAACAAAGGATGTGAAAAATTCGGCTGGATGATGATGATGAACCATCGACGTTGGTTCTACAACCATATTTAAAACCAAAGATTTTGTGTTGTTTTTTTCTTGCTCCTTTTTTAAAAACTATACACATTGTAAACAATATGTCGGCCCTGACTGTAAATATCACGCTATTAATTGTGATGGCACTGTGAAGAAAATGAAAATATAAAAATATTAAAAAAAAACAAAGATTTCAAAAAAATATAAACTCAAATCAACATAAATCGTAACATATGAAGTAGTTAAAAAAAAGATTTTCCAATATCAAATATTAACCGATTAATTGAAACAGACTGCAAGTAATTTTTGTTTTGTACCAGTCTCAAAACAAAAAAGAAATGAAAAAATTTTATTAAAATTTCCTTAATGCGCCCCTATGTATTTTAATTTATGATAAAGTATCTACCTTTTGACTGCTTTTAATAAATTTGAATACGCAACAGGTAAACGGTAGAAAACACACAAACTTATTGAAGGTAACACCTCAAGTCAGAAACACAACTAAAAATTTTCAAGTCGATATTTTCACGTTGCATAGTACAGTGCGTTTCGCATGAAAGTGGAAACTAAACCAAATTTCGTCTACTGCGCCGTGGTCAAGAGTGCTTGCACGGACTATACGTAGAGCCTCACATGCTTCATTTATAATTATAGCAACGGTTGAAAATTTAACACGACAACTTTACCCTATCGAGCTGAAGCTGTTACCTGTTGCTAAAAACCTAAAACAGTATATTTTTTAGGTGAGGAACTGAAGAGAAGGTGGAGAATTTTACGTGATACTTATGTGCGATATTTAAGAGTAGTCAAAACAAAAACTGGACAAGCTAGACAAAATAAAACATGGCAAGGGACTGAAAGTATGAAAATGTACCAACCTTTCTTGCTTTTTGCTAAAACCTCTTCAAATGTACCGGAAGTTGCTGAGAAATCTGATGGTGTAGATCTTTCTGGTAACGAAGAGAGTAAAGTTGGTGATCTATCTGAAGTACCGTTACCTACAAAAAATAAAGAGTCTGCTACTTGTGCTGATGTCACCACCCCGATTGTAGAACCAGAACCAAAAAAAAGAAAAGTGGGAAATGTACACAATATAAAACCTACAACTTCAGTTGACTC